CAGGAGCTGTGGGAGGCCCCGCTGGCTGGCTGTTTCTCCATGTAGTGCTCCTGGCATTCTAGTCAGGAGCAGCATGTGGAGGCACAGAGCCAGAGTCCTGCAAACCGCATGGAGTGGGGGCGATCACCGACGGCCCCCCTCCCATTCTTAACTGAATTTCCACTCTTGGATGGAGGGAGTCTGGGGAACAGCCACAGGGTCGTCAGGGCAGAAGTTGCAGCTAGGCAGAAGCTTTTGGGGGCTGGAGGTGCGGTTGGGCAGGGCCAGGGTGGTCGCACAGCAACCAGAGCCCAAGCTGTTTGCTGCTACAACTGGTGCCTCCTGCAGCCAGTGGCTCCTGCCACTGGCACCTCGTCAGCTTTCAGACAGGCAGCCTTCGGCAGGTAATAATTGTCTACATTTTAGAGGGGCCCCATGGGCCGGATAAAATGGCCTAGTGGGCCATATCTGGGACGCAGGCCATATTTGCTCACCCTTAGCTTAAAGTGTCAAAAAGTATGTTTGTCTATACCCCATGTAGATTATAATTGGATTTATTATTTTTGGGAAAGCTTATTTAATTCAGATTTGCTCTGCTAATCAACTAAAACCATGCATGTATTCTTCATAATGATTTTTATTAGCAATAATGAAATATAAACCTCTTATGAAAATATGTTTAACATTTCAAGATATAGGAATTACTTTATCTTTAAAAATATACTGCTATGCATCAAAAACAGTAACTTCTACGAGACATAATTTCATATACATTTAACAATACAAGCTATATAATAAATCTAGAAATTGTAGAAATTCTTAAAATCTGTAAAGGGAGGTATCTGATTTTCTCTTGGGTTTTTTGTCAAACTACAGTACAAAATATAAAATTACCTACTAAAAAACTGCATGTGTAAATACTTCAGTACATGAGTATATTGGCCCTAAGGTATATACAGTCCTCATATCACCTCCATGACTAGTCTTACAAACATACCTCAGTTCTCTTAGAATATAGTCATAGTCTAGCAAATGACTCTACTGATAGCAGCTATGTAACGCTGAAGTCTGAATCGCACATCTGATATCAATATTATTAAGCCTACCTCCCTGAATACCTACAATTGTGCTCATGGGATTGATGATGAGAATCTTACATATTCTATGAGTACGCATCTTATCTGATGTGTTTTATATTATTAGGGATGTTAAAATGCAGCTGGGAAGCAGAATCTTCCTGTTAGACCCATGCCAGGCATGAAAGGAATAAATTTTAAGAGACTATTCCAGCTAGATACTAACATTTTTTGAAGGTCATTACTGAATAAAGTTCAGCAAAGGAGAGGAAAATGGAGACATTTCCTCCTGTCAAACTATTAGAAGTGGCAGAATCTACTTCATTACCAGTGAACTCAGGAAGAAGCTCTTTCTCCGTCTTAGAAAAGCATTCAGATACAGAAATACAGGATTCTAACAGAAGTTGGAAAACACAAATATCCGACCAATTGTGCTATGCAGGGGTTTAGTGAACCCTACTGTTGCACTAACTTCAAAATCCCGTGCTGTGCTAGAAGTACATTTGGAGGAGACAGCCAGGCCCTCAATTCATATATGAGAAGTTTCACTGACATTCCCATGCACTTCCTTAAATTCTTGTTATAGGAATATTTGATTTACTTGGGGTTTTGGCAACCAAATTTCCCCTGACAGGTTGGGCTTGCTATAGAGTTATTATGTTTGGGCCATTAGCTTCATGTGGTAGATAAGGCCTTTCAGGTGGATGAGGTGCTGAGGTTGTCAAGTCCTACAGACATTACTGCAGCTGAGTACAGTGTGGTTTTGCATAGTAAAATACATATCAATCCTGATGCACTAGCAATGATTTACATTTCTACCCTGTATTTTTGTGCAATGCAGCACAGTATGATATATTATTTTTTCAATTGAGAAGCTCTTGAAATCAGTAGTTACAAATGTTCTGTTAAGTATAGCATAACTTCCTTTTATAAAAATTATATGCAGCAATACTGCAAAAACATACCAAAGGAAAAAATTACTCTTAAAAATGACAGAACAATGTCCAATTTGCTTTAAAAAAATGTTTTAAAGGACATTAATATAATTAAAAATGAATTCCATGTTTGTAACTCAAAACTCAGCAAAACAGAACTCAAAACCCTGAGAATTTTTCTGTCATTGCAGAGTAACAGTCTCTTTGAAAAGAGGAGGAAGAAACAAAGACTTGGGACAAAATTATATGGTAACTCAAAGCAACTTTCAGGCTAAAATTGTGATACATAAGCCCTGAAAAACAGATGCCTGCTTATCCAGCACAACAAAAGAAAAACATGTTCAATTATTATTACATTTTAAAATAAGCTAAGAAAAATCAAAGGAATTACTTTAAACTGACAATAAAATGTAAGTTTTAGCTAAAACTTAGGCGGAAAACTTTTAAAATTGTTTTTTAAAATCCAGTTTGAGGTGCTTAAAAACATACCCAGATGAAGTAATTTCCACTCTTAAAAATTACAACCTGCCTTTTCAGAGTCAATTCCTAGAAACCATATTTTATATGCAGAACAAACTACATCAATATTATATATATATATATATATCATTGTAATTAAGGTTTTCACCATTACTTTATTTGATCTAAAGTATGTTTAAAATCAAAATATGAGTACTGTATCTTTAAATAATAATACAGTGCAATACAAAATTGAAATCTCCTCATATTACTTTACATAGTTTATGAATCAAGTTAAACCCTATCTAACAAGGTGTTACATGGCCTAAACCAGCACAGATTTAAATGGCAGCTAACGATATTCAGGTACTTGCAATACTTTAAGGAAACAGATCTTGAAATACCTGGTTTAACAAAACAGAGAGCACACTGAGCTTTTGATTGGGCAGATTACTGAAAAAATCCTGCAACTTTTGATTTAAAAAATGAAACAAAAAAAACCCCTTTTCCCTCAACTGTTATCTACGTGGCAAGAATTGTGTTGTTTTTGAAAAGTATTCATGAAATTTCCATTTTAAGACTGAGTAACTATGTACATTTACTTTAGAAACAAAATTTGGATGAAGTTTTAAATGAGAAAGAACTCAAGAAAAAGCATTTCCAAAGTTACTAAATCAAGTCACCTGTTTTAAATCTGCATATGTTCAGTACTAGAATAGTCTAATAAAATAATAAAACAAAAGACCTCTCTTCAGTCAAGTAGTACAGGCTATTGAAGTGTAAAGAGTGATTTTTTATAGTTCACAGATTTAAACAAAATATTTTCAACATAATTTATAAGTAATAAACTTGTATAGTGTTTTTTATTCTTTACTTTGGAAAGGAATTGCTATATTTTAACCTTTTTTTTTTAAATTATAATTTCCTTTCCTAGCGTTTTGATGTTGGCTTCAATAAAAGCAACCTAGGAAAATACTGCTCCTTCCAGAGAAGCATGTCAAAGCACTTTATCCTCAAACTATACCAAGGTGGTATACAGCAGCTGTTTAATATTATTTCACAGAATGATGTTACACACACAAGTATTAATGCCTAGCAATAAGAACATACCCATTAGTAAAACATACCTACTAGTGAGATACATTCTGCAGTTATACAACATTCTCCTCTTTTAGAGGAAGCACTGTAAATGACTGAAAATGCCCCAGGACCCAGAGTAAAGGGCCTTATAAAACTTCTTTAATCACTGTTATACTGAGACCCAAAAGAGAACTAATTTTGGGGACCCTCTATATTTTATACTAACATTTTCTTCCTGCTCAAACATGTGGAAGACAGGGCTGCACAATGTATGCCTTTCTTTTAGTATATCTCTATCAATAAGTAGTCTACCAAAATGACTGACTGTGCAATGAGTGCAGAATGCATTTTGTACAACCTCCACTGTGATCCTGGCTAACCAGCATTTTCTCTGGAATTTTAAAATCTCTTGTTAGCCAGCAAAAACATAAGAAATGAGAGGGCTTCTTATGCAAAAGAATCAATATATGGCTTACTGCAAAGAAGAATGCAACTGTTTCGTACATACAATTTTTTATAAAATTATTTAAATAAAATCATTGGTGTACAGCATTTAAAATAATCTATTTTACATACTTATATAATCAAAATATAAGATCTCTTTTTGCATAGAAATTAAGTAAAGTGCAACTACAGGATAATGTTCCATACCATAAAAAGTTCACAAGTATAACATTAAACTGACACGGTGTGAGTTAAGCTACTGCAAGGAGATTTTAGATTGGTAAAAAAGAAATCTGATAGGAAAACCACAACATTTCCCTTAAAAAAAAAAAAAAAAAAATCAGAAAGATTAAATGGCCTTTATTCATTTAAGACCAAAGTGAAAATTAAAATAAATTCCTACACACCTGGCTTTATTTTTGTGCAAAAAAATGTCAAAGGCTTCCAAGTGTGTCAGCCTTGCGATCCAGTCTGCTGTGCTGTGGAGAATTTTTGGTTTCCTTTTGTTGAACAGAGCTGACACTTTATTGAGTATACATAATTATAAAGCAGTCACCACATCATTTAAAAAAATAGCAGCTTATGTAGATATACTGATACATAGTTAGTGATGGAAAGAGAAAGAAAAACTTAATTCTCTACTGTCTTCAATCTTTCACCCAGTTCTCTCTATAAAGCGAGTGCAAAAAACTCCCTAATTAGAATGGTAGTCTTCTATTCCCATTTTGCAGACATGCTAATGACTACATGTGGAAGTGGTGAATCAGGATTATAAGGAACAATAGTAGTTCCTGCATAAGGAAAATAACAGGGAGTAACTTTGATAGAAGCTTTTAAGACATAAAAGAGGAAACTTTTCATAGCTCTTTCCTGATTAAGTATAGGTAAGGGTGACCAGAATCGGAACAGACTTCCCAAGGAGGTGGTACAGTCCTCAACCTTGGAAGTCTTCAAAAGGAGACTGGACAGGCACCTTGCTGCAATCTTTTGATCTCAGCAGTAGTCCTGCCCAGAGCAGAGGGGTTGGACTCCGTGATCTTTCGAGGTCCCTTCCAGCCCTTAATTTCTATAATTCTACACCATAGAAAAGCATATACAAAGCCAACTAATTAAAACATCTTCAGTACTCCACAGAAGTCAGCTCACTCTTTATCGTGGGGATAACTCAATAATATATAGTTAAAAACATTATTTTAAATAAATAAAATAAATATTTTATGGTAAATATTTCCCAAGAGTGCTAATCTCTGTTCTTGTAATGAGTGTCTAGCTTGCTAGACTTTATTTTGTTTAGTTTTTTTTGAATTTTGTTGCCACTTACGAACAGCAGTTCCAGAGCTACTAGCTACTACACAAAGAGCACCACCCACTGTCCACCAAGATGGTATATGATTAAGGAAAAGAATCTGTAAAATAAAAGCAAACACCACATCCATTGTTTTCATTATGGCAACAGGACCAGCTTTCTCTATCTGCAATGCTTTTGTGAGAAATATTTGACCCCCCAACCCTAAAATTCCAATTAATATTAGAAGAAGTCTGTCTGTACCACAATGTGGTAAGCTCCATTCGTCTATTATAGACAGTGCTATAATGCATTCAATTAATCCAATTACTGCATAATACCAGATAGACAAAAAATAGTGCACCGATTTTCCCATCTTTCTTAGTATAACGAAAGTCGAAGCTGCAGACACTGCACTTGTAACAGCTGCTATTGTCCCTTTAAGATGATTTGTATAGCTGCCTTCTATCCCTGTAACAATGGATCCAAACAGAAAGGGTGGTCTAGCAATAAGCACCACTCCAGTGATTGTGAAGAAGGTGAAAAGAAGATCCCAAAGACTGTATTTTTCCTTGAGAAATATCCAGGCTAATAACGATGTAAAAACTGGACTGCTGAAAGTTATAACAGTGGCATCAGCCAGAGGCATTACTTGGAAAGCGTAGTAGAGAAGAATCATCGCACTAGAGCCAAGGAATCCTCGGAGGAAAAGAAAAACTCGTTTACCTTTTGGTCCCAAAAAACCTGTTCTGAATATTAAGAGCAACAAAGATAACATTAATTTCATGACATGGCGACATTATAACTAAACATTTAATTACACTTAACTGTACTCTTTACAAGTAAGAGACTTTTCATCAAGAAACTGTCTGAAATACTTGATTTAGCAAAGATGTATTTATATTACAGTAACACTTAGACATCCAAATTAGAATTAAGGACTCGTTGAATTACTGCTTGGAAGTTATCCCAAGGAAAAATGTAAGTAACACCTAATTACCTTCTGATTTTAAGGCTCTTTCAAAGTTCTAAGTACTTCTAGAATAGTTCATTCTCTTGTGATCCAGAGACCTTTTTTAAAAAAAAGGTTCTTGAAGTTCATTAATAAAACAATGGGATTTCTTTAAATAGAAGTTACAAATATTGCTCAAGAGCATGCTCTGATCCAATTAAAATACTTGCTGTCCAATTTATCCTTAAATTTAGTGTATGAGAGAACCAGATACAATACTAACTATAAGGTGTCAGGTGAAGGCTGATATTTCGTTAAAAAAAAAAAAAAAAAAAAAAAAAAAAAAAAAATTTTTTTTTTTTTTTTTTTTTAAAAAAAAAATACCCCTCCCCCCAACCCCTTTTTTTTTTTTTTTTTTTTTAAAAAAAAAATACCCCTCCCCCCAACCCCTTTTTTTTTTTTTTTTTTTTTAAAAAAAAAAAAAAAAAAAAAAAAAAAATCAGGCGTAATACTTACTCATAGTATATTAAACCAGGAAGAACAAATGACATTTGGAAAACGCATCGAAATGCACTGACTTCTACTGAATGTACATCTTCAATTTTTTTTAGAAATAAAGAGGCCACTGAGAAAAGGAAGGCAGACAATAAGGTATAAAACAGGCCAAGTCCTGGACAGGCAGCCTTCTTCTTTGTTCCTGTAACACATAATACATGCCAGTTAGTAATTAATTTAATTCCTGGAAGCTTTTTGAAGTGGGTCTGGAAAGAACATGAGTGTCCAATTGTTGTAGTTTTTCTTGTAATGAGGAAAAAGAAGGTAAAGGAAGCAAAAAACCCCTACCCCTTGTATTTATTGTAAACATATTGCAAGTATATTTGACTTTCATATTTAATTTTCTGTGCGCTCGATGTGAAATCCAGTATGGCATGGATATCAAATCATCATCTTACCTCTTGAAAATCACATTTTCTTTATTAGCTTAGGTGGGTTACACCTTCAGTCAACAGCAAAACATTTGGTCATACTTCAGAAGGCTTCTAAAAGAAATCGAGCATTTTTTAACACTGCTCAAAAATCAGAATTTAGCATATATAATTTTCTGTCATGATACATGGGGCCATCTTATTAAATGTCAAAAGACAAAAACATAGCCTAAAAAACCAGACATGGATAGGCTTATGGAGGAAAGCACAAAGAGAAAAGAATGAATTCTTATTGCCTGTATGATGCCTTATTTGAGTACTACGGTAGAAAGCCAAACTAAATAACTGAAGTACGTATTCAATAAAATTAAATAAAAGAAATATAAAGAGATAAAAGGCATTGTACATTCAGCAACATCTGACTGTACACCTCACTGGAATATCAATTTATATATATCACTCACACAAAGGCTTTACTCAAGCACTGGCCAAAGTAGGCCTGACCAGCAAACCTGACCACTGCATGAACTCCTTACACAAGCAAAGCTTGGCCCATGGGCCAGATGTGCACTCCTGCCAGAAGATGGGAGGGGGAGATGGCTGTACAAGGTGTAGGATAGCTCAGTAACAGGGTGATAAGGCTGGAATGGGAACACCCAGATCAGGATGTGGAACAAGCCAATGGTTCAGGATGGCTTAAGATAGTCAAAATACTGGTGCAATGTAATATACAATCTATTTTGACCACAATATACAAGGAGATTAGATACTATGGGAACTTTATATTGGCCTAGGGGAGCCTACATGGTATTGTGCCAATACCTTGTCATAGACATACATGCGTTAACACCTTGTCTGTCAGACCACAAGTGTGTTAGAGCCATGCCCCCGTACGCAGTAAACCTGGCTGAGCCACTGCCAACGAACCAAGTCTTTAAAGAATGACCACAGACAGGACTGGTACTGGGATCTCCTGGATGCAACTTTTTACTGGCACTGAAGTCCCTGAGACTTTAACACTGACAACACATCAATAACACCCAAAGAGGACTGCAACGATAACACTGACTTTTGACTTGGGGCCCTGTTACATGTTCAGATTAAAGCTGAATAGAAACCAGTTATAGAGTTGTTATGCATTTTCAGCCATCAACATTATAGCTGGTTAGCTCTTTTTATAGCTGAGTAGTCATTTTTATTGCGTGCTAATTACATTGCATGTGGGCTGGACTAAATTTATTGCACAATTAACTAGTGAATTGCATAATATATGTAATGTATAGCAGGGGCTGAAGAGACTGGAAAAATAATACAATTTTGGAAACTCCTAATTTTTGTAAAATACCCAATATATTAGATATGTCCAAGAAGTATACTTAATGACCTAACAATGACCTGTCAGAAAATAAAAAAAGGTATCAAATTGACAACACTGGTATCTCAGATTGCCCACGCAAGTACAGTGTGCAATGAGAAGAGTGAACTTATATTTCCTATTAAAAATAAAAAATATTAGGGTTGCGCCGATACAGATTTTTGGAGCCAATACCAATAGCCAATTTTTAAGGAGGCATACCAGCCGATACTGATCTGATTTCCCATACCAGCCCGGCAGCTTGAACAGCTGCATGAAGCTGGTAAGTCTGTTGTGGTTGAAGGGGAGGGGAAAGGTAAAGGGTGTGGGGGGAGGGCGGTGCAGATCAAGGCCCCTGTTGCGAGGGAGGAGCGGGGCTGGCGCAGGCATGGGATGGAGCTGCAGTTCATGGCGGGGGGGGGC